TCCCCTGACCATTTATGTGGCACTCTGCCAGACTCACTTGGTATGTAAAAGAACGTACCCAATAGATTAAGGTTTTACTGAGGACCCCAAATCTAGACATACAGCGGCCAGAGACCCTTAATCTGTTGGGTATGTTCTTGTGCATACAAGCCAATAAGTGGTCAGCTTTCTTTGCTGCAAGGGTACACAGATGATTCATGTTCACCTTGTTCCAACTAGACCAGGTCTCTTCCTGCAAAGCTGGTTTCTAGTCAGTCAGCCCAACTCAGACAGAGGGTACTTGGCTTTATTCAACCTTAGGTGGTTCCGCTCAAGCCATTCCTCCAGCTTGTACAGGCCAACTGAACAGAGCGCATCATTGTACTGACTACTTCCTCTAATTTAGTATCATCCAAGATCTTGCTCCAGGCACACTCTGACCTGCTGTGCAGGTCATTAATAAAGACAGGAAATACTACTGACCAAGCATGAGTCCCTGAGGGACGTCACCTTAGTTGTCTGTAAAGCCCCCTAAACATCTAAGATATTTGTATCTGTGCACAAAAGGAAGGTTTTGCATGTGTGGAAAAAATGAGAAATTGGTTTGAAGTTACAACTGTATCATGCATCACCCGAAGTTCTTATTCAGAAGAAAAAAGAAAAACTTTAGAAATTACACCTGTACTTTCTCAACTTACACTCAAAGTCAGAAACTGGCAAGTTCTGCAAAATCTGTATTTATTCTCAGATGTTCTTTTACTATAATCATAGCAAAATTCCAGCTTGTGGCTTAACAGTTACCTGTGCTTACACCACAAATGTAGTCAAAAAGTTGATGAACTGGCTTCCCAGTTAGTTCTTCTAGTTTCCGTAGAGTCTGAAGTGCAACTAAACCCCTGAAACACAAAAAAAAAAAAAACCCAAACCCTTCACATACAGTGGTAGTTTTATCTTACAAAGTTCTAATTAAGCCCACCTTTGCTTAATTATAACTAATTATAACTGAATAACTACAACAGTAAGAATACTGAATATTTCAGGGAATGAACGAGTAGCAGAAATGGAATAATGAATACTAAATCAAGATGATTAGATGATACTCAGGCATACCAAAAATAGTACTCAACAGCTACAGTCATATTGTTTTGTAGCAAAGGCTCAGGGATGATCACCTTCAGGACAGAATTTAGCTGCATCCACAACACACAGCCCTTAAAGTTTGGTCTTAACAGGGCTATACAATGCCCCTTAGGATATAGCATTTTCCTGTCTGTGGGTTTTTTTGCCTCAATTCAATGTGTCGGAAATAATGGGAGAGATGCATTCTGGACCATCAGACTTGTGCTTCTGTAGCATGAAACAGAGTATGTGGCATGCAAAGGTGCTACTCTACCAGGCTAGAGCTAGAGAGCTGCGTATGACAAAAGGAGCACCAAACCAAGCACCATCTCGCCAACCCATTCTGCTGAGCGTGGCACCTCCTGCATGCTGCCCCCAAATCTGTCCTGGCTTGTGCTGAAGAGCAGCTGTCAACACAGTCCAAAACTAAAACCAACTGAATGCCACCAACTAAGTGGCACAACAGCCAGCAGTCAGTACACAGGCTCACTCTCTGGACTTGTTTCATTTAGTGGTACAGATGTAGATACCGCTTTCTAAAGATAGGCTGTCTTCTGAATGTCACTCCCCTAGAAATCTCACAGAAAAATTAACACATTTCATTCATACATACAGTGTCCTTCTTTCCCCTTCATAAAATCTTTACGGTTTACAATGAACTTTTGGAAACAAAAATGTTGAAGTTGTGACATACACTTACTCCTTACTGAAGGCAACTGATTTTGATGCAAGTAAAGAAATACTACGGGGAAACAAAAAGTTTGTGAAACTGTGTTTCTGCAATGACTTCATACTTCACTTTCTACCGATAAAGATTTGTCAATCAGTAAATATTTCCCAACAAGAATTCTTCATACATGCCTGAAAACACAGCTTTTAGTAAACATCAGACTTCAAATTTAATGAACATGCTTCTGCTAACACTCTTTACAAATTGTGGTAGATACATAAATTCATGCAGAACCAGAACACACCTAACTAAGGACATGTGGTGTATAAATTAAAAAAAGTATTTGCTGTAGAAGAAATATAAATCGACAGCATGGCTAGTGTAGCGTTCACCACTAGCCTATTCATTCTTTCATATGAGACCAGTCCTTCTAAGGCAGGTCACCCTCCAGACAAGTGCAAGAACATTTTTTGTATTACTAAGTCAACATAATCATAAGAGCATAAAGTACTTCCAGGATTTCACACCAATTTTCTATTTCTGAGATTAGACTTGTGAGCAGACTAACTCAAATAACCATTTAATTTACTTCCAAAAGGAGAAAGAGCCAATCCAAGCACTTAAGTGTGTGCCCAACTTTAAATGGGTAAGTAATTTCAGTGTCATAGGACTACTAATGCATGGAAATTTAAGCACAAATGCATACAAAAATAATACCCATCACTTGGATAGTCAAATGTAACAGAACTGTAAATCATAAATTGCATCTTCAGGCACAAACTTATCAAAGAGAAACTGACATTTTATTTCTAGTTACAGTATGAAAAAGGCAACAAATATATAAAAAATCCAGAGGTTTTACCTTGTTCCTCCTCCATCAATAGTGAGGACTCGAATTCCCCAGCCTTTCACAGGGTCTGTATATCCAATTATAGCTAAAGTCTCTCTAACAGCAGCCTGAAGACTTTCGTCATTTGCTTCTCTCAGTCGCAGTAGGCATGGGATTAATTTTTCCTATTGATAAATACAAAGATATTTCATTCTAACTACATGCTTATACCGAAAGAATTCATGCTTAAATTTACTAGTTTGACATTTAAGTATAAAAGTTATATATTACTTAGAGGAAAACTTCTTTAAATCTATATTTGCCCATCTTTCTTTCTAACCAGGGAAAGAAAGGACTCCAGTATTATGTCATACACGCCTTATTGCTAAAGTAGCTATGTATCAGAATTAAACAATCAAGGTGAAATGTAAATCTTCTGAATACCTATGAAAGCTATATTTACCATCAGTTTAGTTTTATTGACTTTAATGTCACATTTGTCAAATACAAACTCAAGTATGAAGCATACCAAGTATAGCTAAAAGCCCAGATTTTGCTAAGTAACTCACTGCTTCAAAACAGGAAATGCCTAAGTACACTAACATTAAAACAAAACAAAAATTAAAATTCTTCCTCAACCTGAGTAGTTTTTAAATGTACAGTTATTATCACAAAGGTATAGAGTATTCTAATAAAAATAGGAGTAGTGAATGTGCTCTTTCATAATTAAGTAATACATGTGGATGCCTGACCTGTAACCTGACCAGATGATTGATCTGGCCTGTACTCCATTCCCAAAGATCTCTTTCCCAGCAACTCTACAATCTATGTCACACATCTGTCACAGCTTGTGGAAAAAGGCACGAGACTGACAAATGCTGTGATTTGGCCAGTACTGCTAGAATAGTCTACCACCCACCTCCTGTCCTCTCACTGCAGAAAAGAGAATGAGTAGGACTAGATTACATGAACTTATTTGATGGTCATGCTCCACTCTTGTCATCTCCCTTCGAAGGAAGCATGAAAACAAGCATAAAAAGCGTTGTGCATATGCAGACCAACCGTACCGTACATTCCCATCTGATCAACTGCGACAGAGGACACAGTGTACGACCTTCATCTACCACTAGAATAAGCTATACTATCTTTCCACATGACAATGCTGTATGCTTCTAAATTAAACATTGCCAACTTAAGAGCCTTTAGCTAAACTACTGATACTTTGCACACGAAATCTGCTTGAACTAGCTAAAAAAAAAAAAAAATCCATAAAGAGACATGCACATTGTAATCAGTACAAATAGAAAATATGACTAGCCCACAAAAGCACAGAAGGAAGTTTTTATGTTATTCTGTGTCAGTGGTTTGTCAGATATTTATGTTTTGTCTAAGCATAAAGTCTGTTTGCACCTTAATTGCAACTCCTCTGCTCTCTGGAAATTCTAGGAGATGGTAGGTCAGTTCTTCAACCCTGCTGATACAGACTCTTCGATTAGAGGATCTTCGTAGTGCTTGAACTAAAGCTCGAGTCCTGTTATCAATACTCACTCTTGCAATAATCTAAAAAAAGATAAAGATATACAAATAACATAAAACTACGCTAAGAAATGTGTACAGTTTGCCAAGAGTAATCCCGAACTGTTATTTTAAGATTTCCCAGAAGTACCAGACAGCATGTTGTACTAGAGATCTGCTACAGGCTCCAAGTAAGCATTGCTTAAACGTAAGCAGGCAACCTTTTGATTCTTCGTTTACGAGAAAAATAAAGGCGGCTCACAGCAACAATACGCCAAACAAACATGTCAGCACGTACTCAGATGTATTTTCAGGGCAACTCTGAAATCATAGTATTTGGCCCATGAAGAAGTGTAAGATTACTATAACTACAACAAAAAAACCCCAACTAGATCTATCTGTATTTAGGTACTCTCTCTCTACATATACATGAGCTAAATATATGTATATACAAATATACACTTTATATGTAAACTTAACATATACGTATATGTACTTACAGACAAATTTTTATATAAATATACACACTTATTTACAAGAACATGTATGTCAGTTTACATATAACTTGCATATAGTACCTATGTTTGTACAGTTTTTATGTGTATATACATATATACTTACGTAAGTACATATGTACTTATATGTATGCACACATAGAAACGTAGGTGTACATATATATGTAAGTACATACACAGGTATATACTTACCTAAGTAACTCTGTGTGGATATACCTTTATGTAAGTTTCTGTATGTATACTGCACATATACAATTGTATAAAATACACACATACAGCAGAATAATATATAAAGAAATAACACTAAACAAAGACTTGCCTTTTCCCTCTGAAGAGACAGATGCTTTTCCCTCTCTTCAGCAGTCTTAGCCTCTTTTGCTTTGTCCTCCTCGTCTTTCTCAGGCACTTCTTGTTCCGCCTGTTTACTCTTTTCTTGTGAAACAACTTTTGTATCGGATCTTAACTTGGGAACCAACCCACCAATGTAACTGTCTACGAAAGCTTGTACACTGTTACTGGGGTATGAAAGAAAGTTTGCAATACTTTTTTTAGTGGAAACGGGAAGAGAAGTATTTGCCTTTTCAGCACCCAGAGTCTCTGCCTCAGGAGCTAAAGTAGCTGCTGAATCCACTGTCTTTTCTTCACTCATCACAGCATCTTCTGATGAATCGAGCTTATTCCTCTCTTCTCTTTTAGGGTCCTGTAATAAAGCATTCTTTTTTTTCTCTTGTTCCATAACAGAATTATTATTAAAGTACCAGTTGATATGATCAGCTACAAAGTTGTATGTCTCTCCAAAATTTGTAGAAAAGTAGCTTATATGAAAAAGGTGGGTTTTAGCAGACGCTGCATCTTCTGGCGTATCTTGGTAAGCGCCACCTGAACTTACTAACACAGACTCCAAGTTTTTGTTTGCACAAGTGGATTTCTTTGCAGCTGGGCCTCTGTTGCAATCCTCCCGAGTTCTGGCATCTGTGACTTGTTTATCATTTTCTACATTTGCATTGATGTTATTTGCATCTGCACTACTTTTATTTGCTTTTCCCAGAGTACCTGAGTGTGACTTCAATCGAGCTATCCGCGAAAGCAGTTCACTGTGAGTGCCAGACACTGCCTTTGAAACAGATTCTATAGTACTCTTAATGCGTGACATGCGATTGTTCACTTTCGTAAGTCCTTTGGAAGAAGAAGTTAAAAGTTTCGAAACTTTATAGTACAAAAAGTCATGGCTGTAAGCGTATTTGTTATACCAAAATGTTCTGCTTCTGGCCCATTTACACCGAGGCTCGCTTGTATGAAAAACTCTCAGGGGAACGGCATGATTTATCCTCCAGCAGACTTTAGGTCTATACAAATACAGGTATTTGTTTCTTTGCTTCCACCAAAGACTTTTTGGGTTAATCACAAAGAACAAATATGCGTCTAGAGATAAATGAACTGTCATTACTTATAAGTAATTACACCTTTTCTATGTTGCTTGTCTACTTCATTCCAGAAAATGTATTTCAATAAATAAGTCTCGCAGCACAGTGTTATCTGAAAAAGAAAAAAAGCAACAATGGAAACGCAAAACCAGTAACAAGTTAAGCTAAAAATCACAGAGTTGCTTAAAGCAGGTGCAGCTTATTTATTCTTTCAGTAAAGGCTGATAAACATTGAAATCAAATAATCTCATGGGGATATCTACTGCTCAGTGTCATCCCAGCATTTGAATTTCAACACGTTATTCCTTAAAGGCCAGCTTAAGTCCATCCTGAGCAATATGCAACACCTGTTGAAAGCATTTAGTGACATATAGAAAACCACTTGCTGGTCTTTCCAATAAAGAGAAATTTGTATCCCTTCAGCAAATTACCTCGTGCAGAGACCAAATTTCAAATGAAACTGTCATTATATTACCACCCCTTGGCAGAATTCCTCCCGGGGGAGAAAGGACACCAATTCTTTGAGCAAAGCTTCAGTATAAAGCCACGAGCTCAACGAAACGTTCCTACCCCAAGAGCTAAGGGCAGCACATACTCCTCGCTCTACAGGGAAAATGCAGACGTTTCGGAGGTGGATGAGAGTTTCACACAGCACACGAGAGTTGCGCGGGAGCAAACATATCATTTGCCTAAATGGCAAGCTCGAACTTCTCCAGCTCCTACCACAAGCGCCAGAGGAGGTCAGGCAGGCTACCTAGCCCCTCGGCAGGCAGGCTACCTAGCCCCTC